TTTTTATTTTAATTTATACCAATGCTATAATGATTGGTACAACCCGTTTTGATTTTTTTAATTATTTAAAATATAATATAAATATAATTAATTTAATTAATTATTAGTATATAACTATAATTTTAAGTTTATTTGTATTTAATTTTAAATTAAAGAATAATAATTTTTTGATATATGTATGGTAGAGTGTGTTAAAGTAGAGTGTTTAGGGAATATTGATCAATGTGAATTGCTTTCATTTTCACCTTTGTTTTGTGCATGTTAGAGCGTGGTGATGAGATTGTGGACAACATCCCTGGGCTTCCTTCTACCACTTTAGCAAATTAAATCTGCCAACAATTCTCTATGGAACCGGCTACCAGACCTTGTCCCGAGCTCTGGAAGCTATTTCGTTGATTCCCAAATCTCAATATCTTCTCTTCACTTCTGTCTACGAGCTCGAATCCCGAGTTATTGACTTTTTCAAGGCAGAATTTGCTTTCCCTGTCTATGCAATTGGACCCAGTACACCTTTCTTCACATTGAAAGGTAAGGTAATTCTCCAACTTCCAACTACCTACAGTGGCTGGATTCCCAGCCTAAAGCTTCAGTCTTGTACATATCTTTGGGAAGTTTTCTATCGGTTTCAGCTGCACAGATGGATGAATTAGTAGCTGGACTTCGGAACAGTAGTGTTCCATACCTGTGGGTGTCGCGCGTGGAAGCTTCTTGGTTCAAAGAGAGCTGCGAGAATAGAGGACTAGTGATTCCTTCGTGTGACCAGTTGAGAGTGCTATGCCATTCTTCTATTGGGGGGTTTTTGACGCACTGCGGGTGGAATTCTACCCTGGAGCTGTTTATGCAGGCGTTCCTACTCTTACTTTTCCTATATTCTTGGATCAGATCCCAAACAGCAAGCAACTAGTGGAAAAAGGGGAGTGAAGAGCGAGGTGGGGACTGAAAACCTAGTGTCAAGGGAAGAAATTGCAGAGATTGTGCGAAACTTTATGAATTTGGATTAATTGCAATGAAGGGAAGGAGATGAGAGAAAAGGCTAGAGAACTTGCAGAAGCATGCCGAGGTGCAATTTCGGAAGGTGGATCCTCTGATGTTAGCCTTGATTCTTTCATCAAGGTTCTATCAAAAGGTCATGTTCACTAACTAAACCCGTCAATATATATAATTATTCAAAAAAAAATTGTATTTCTTACAATTATTAATGATAGAAGGATATAACTCCTTAATATTGAGAATTTATTGCTCTATTATTTCTCTATTAATAAGTAAAAAGAAGGTAATTTGTGTATTTTTTATATGATATATATAATTTGTTTTTTGTACCTTGCATCTTATATTATTTGAATCAAATTGCATGTATTGCATACTATTGATGATTATCCATGAAATTCTTCAAACACTCAATAAATTTTTTTAATATGTTAATTTATTAAAAATATTTAAAATTTTTTATTATCCTTCATGAAATTTTAATTATTATGACATTCTAAATTTTTGCAATCTCATATTTGATTCACATATTAGTTAAGATCGCTAGAGAAACTTGGAAAAAAAAGGTTGCAAAAGAAAAAATTAATTCGAGTTAAATGACCATAAACGAGGGGACTACCAACTTAGGTATTTTAAATTCAAAAGAGTGTGGTACAATTTACTTGTACTAAATTGCGCGCATTTACCAGAGATAAACTCCCTAAGGGCAATCATTTATACAACTATCCACAATTTTCTATAATTCCAATGGCAGCAAAAAGGAGGGGTGGGTCAATTTCTGGCCCAATATCCCAATATGGGATCCCACTATCAAACATTGTCTGGTCAAGGACTCAAAGGGAAGACCGGTTTGTAAAATAAAAATGAATTGATTTTAGGATATTTTTAATATATC